TCATTCCCTTTCTTTCTTTCTTTCTTTCTATTTTCTCGAACCATACTTTCATTCCCTTTCTTTCTTTCTTTCTTTCTTTCTATTTTCTCGAACCATACTTTCATTCCCTTTCTTTCTTTCTTTCTTTCTTTCTTTCTTTCTTTCTTTCTTTCTATTTTTTTTTTCTCGAACCATACTTTCATTCCTTTATTTTCTTTCTTTTTCTTTCTTTTCTATTTTCTCGAACCATACTTTCATTCCCTTTTCTTTCTTTCTTTTCTTTCTTTTCTATTTTCTCGGACCATACTTTCATTCCCTTTCAACCATACTTTTCTTTCTTTCTTTTTCTTTTTCTTTCCATTTTTTTCTTTTCTTTCTTTTTTCTTTTTCTCGAACCATACTTTCATTCCCTTTCTTTCTTTCTTTTTCTTTCTTTCTTTTTCCTTTTTTCTATTTTCTCGAACCATACTTTCATTCCTTTCAACCATTTCTTTCATTTTCCCTTTTCATTCATTTTTTTCTTTTTTCTATTTTTTTCTCGAACCATATTTTCATTCCCTTTCTTTCTTTTCTTTATTTTCTCGAACCATACTTTCATTCCCTTTTTCTTTCTTTTCTTTTTTTCTTTTCTATTTTTCTCGAACCATTTTCTTTCATTCCCTTTTCTTTCTTTTCCCCTTTCTTTCTATTTTCTCGAACCATACTTTCATATCCCTTTCTTTCTTTCTTTCTTTTATTTTTTCTCGAACCATACTTTCATTCCCTTTCTTCCTTTCTTTTTTTCTATTTTCTCGACCATACTTTCATTTCCTTTCTTTCTTTCTTTCTATTTTTCTCGAACCATACATTCATTCCCTTTCTTTTTTCTTTTCTTTTTTTTATTTCCTTTTTCGACCATACTTTCATTCCCTTTCTTTTCTTTTTCTATTTTCTCGAACCATACTTTCATTCCCTTTTTCTTTCTTTTTTCTTTCTATTTTTCTCGAACCATTTTTCATTTTCCCTTTCTTTTTTTTCCTTTCTTTTTCTATTTTCTCGAACCATACTTTCATTCCCTTTCTTTATTTCTTTCTTTCTTTCTTTTTTTCTCGAACCATACTTTCATTCCCTTTCTTTTCCTTTTCTTTTTTCTTTCTTTTCTCGAACCATACTTTCATTCCCTTTCTTTCTTTTTCTATTTTTCTCGAACCATACTTTCATTCCCTTTCTTTCTTTCTTTTTTTTTCTATTTTTCTCGAACCATACTTTCATTCCCTTTCTTCCTTTTCTTTTTTCTTTCTATTTTTTCGAACCATACTTTCATTCCTTTTTTTTTTCATTTCTTTCTTTTTTTCTTTTTTTTTTTCTCGAACCATACTTTCCCTTCCCTTTTCTTTTTCTTTTTCTCGAACCATATTTTCCCTTTCTTTATTTCTTTCTTTTTTTCTTTTCCATACTTTCATTCCCTTTCAACCTTTCTTTCTTTTCTATTTCTTTCTTTCTTTCTTTCTTTATTTTCTCGAACTTTCTTTTTTTCATTTTTCTTTTCTTTTTCTTTTTTCTTTTTCTCGAACCATTCTTTCATTCCTTTCTTTCTTTCTTTCTTTCATTTCCTTTCTTTTTCTTTCTTTCTTTTCTATTTTCTCGAACCATACTTTCATTCCCTTTCTTTTTTTTCTTTCTTTCTTTCATTTTCTCGAACCATTTTTCCTTTCAACCATACTTTCTTTTCCCTTTCTTTCTTTCTTTCTTTTTTATTTTTTCTCTTATTTTCTCGAACCATACTTTCATTTTCCCTTTTCCTTTTCTTTCTTTCTTTTTTTTTCGAACCATTTTCATTTTTTTTCTTTCTTTTTTTCTTTTTTCTCGAACCATACTTTTTTCCCTTTCTTTTTTCTTTCCTCGACATTTTCATTCCCTTTCTTTCTTTTTTCTTTTCTATTTTTCTCGAACCATACTTTCATTCCCCTTTTCCTTTCTTTCTTTTTTCTCGAACCATACTTTCATTCCTTTTCTTTCATTTTCCCCTTTTTTCTTTCTTTTTTCTCGAACCATATTTTTCTTTCCTTTTTTCTTTCTATTTTCCTTGAACCATACTTTCATTCCCTTTCTTTCTTTTTTCTTTCTTTTTTCTTTCTTTCCATTTTTCTCAGAACCATTTTACTTTCTTTCTTTTTCTTTTTCTCAACCATACTTTCATTCCCTTTCTTTTTTTTCTTTTTTTCTTTTTCTATTTTCTCGAACCATACTTTCATTCCTTTTCTTTCTTTTTTTCTTTCTTTTTCTCGAACCATACCATTCCCTTTCTTTTTCTTTTTTTTCTTTCTATTTTCTCCCCATTTTCATTTCCCTTTCTTTCTATTTTCTCGAACCATACTTTCATTCCCTTTTCTTTCTTTTTCTTTTTTTTCTTTCTTTCCTTTTTTTCTCGAACCATACTTTTTCCCTTTCTTTCTTTTCTTTTTTTTCTCGAACCATACTTTCATTTTATTTTTCTTTCTATTTTCTCGAACCATACTTTCATTTCCTTTTTCTTTTTTGATTTTCTTTTTCTTTTTATTTTTTCTTTTTTCATACTTTCATTCCCTTTCAACCATACTTTTTCCCTTTCTTTCTTTCTTTCTTTCTTTCTTTTTTTCTCGACACCATATTTTCATTCCTTTCTTTCTTTTCTATTTTCTCTCGAACCATACTTTCCCATTTCCCTTTCTTTCTTTCTTTCTTTTTTTCTCGAACCATACTTTCATTTCCCTTTCTTTCCTTTCTTTTCTATTTTTTCTCGAACCATACTTTCTTTCTTTCTTTCATTTTTCTTTTTCTTTTTCTTTCTTTCTATTTTCTCTCGAACCATACTTTCATTCCCTTTTTCTTTCTTTCTTTTTCTTTCTTTTTTCTTTTCTTTTTTCTTTCTATTTTCTCGAACCATACTTTCATTCCCTTTTCTTTCTTTCTATTTTTCTCGAACCATACTTTCATTTTCTTTCTTTCTTTTTTTTTTCTTTCTTTCTATTTTCTCGAACCATACTTTCATTCCCTTTCTTTCTTTCTTTCTTTCTATTTTCTCGAACCATACTTTTCATTCCCTTTCTTTTTTTTCTTTCTATTTTTCTCGAACCATACTTTCATTCCCTTTTTCTTTTTTTCTTTCTTTCTTTCTTTACTTTCTTTTTTTCTCGAACCATACTTTCATTTTTTTTCTTTCTTTCCCTATTTTCTTTTCATTTTTCTTTCTTTTTCTTTCTTTTTTTTCGAACTATTTTTTCATTCCTTTTTTATAACCATACTTTCATTCCTTTTCTTCTTTCTTTCTTTTTCTATTTTCTCGAACCATATTTTCATTCCCTTTCTTTTCTTTCTATTTTCTCGAACCATACTTTCATTCCCCTTTCTTTTTTCTTTCTTTTTCTCGAACCATACTTTCATTTCCCTTTTTCTTTTTTTTCTATTTTCTCGAACCATATTCCATTTCTTTCTTTCTATTTTCCTTTTCCCTTTTCTTTTTTTCTTTCTATTTTCTCGAACCATACTTTCATTCCCTTTTCTTTCTTTTTTCTTTTTTCTTCTCGAACCATACTTTCATTCCCTTTTTTCTTTCTTTTTTTTTTCTCGAACCATACTTTCATTTCCTTTCTTTTCTTTCTATTTTCTCGAACCATACTTTTCATTCCTTTCTTTCTTTTCTTTTTTTTCTCGAACCATACTTTCCTTTTTCTTTCTTTCTATTTTCTCGAATACCATTTCTTTCCATTCCCTTTTTTCGAACCATTCTTTTCTTTTTCTTTCTTTTTTTCCATACTTTTTTCTCATTTCTTTCTTTCTCTATTTTCTCGAACCATACTTTCATTCCTTTCTTTCTTTCTATTTTCTCGAACCATACTTTCATTCCTTTTCTTTTTCTTTTTTTTCTAGAACCATTTTCTTTCTTTCTTTCTATTTTCTCGAACCATACTTTCATTCCCTTTCTTTTCCTTTTCTCTTTCTTTTTTTTCTTTTTTCTTTTCGAACCATACTTTCATTCCCTTTCTTTCTTTCTTTCTATTTTCTCGAACCATACTTTCATTCCCTTTCTTTCTTTCTATTTTCTCGAACCATACTTTCATTCCCTTTCTTCCTTTCTTTCTTTCTATTTTCTCGAACCATACTTTCATTCCCTTTCTTTTCTTTCTTTCTATTTTCTCGAACCATACTTTCATTCCCTTTCTTTCCTTTTTATTTTCTTTTTCCCTTTCTTTCTTTTCTTTCTTTCTATTTTCTCGAACCATACTTTCATTCCCTTTCTTTCTTTCTTTCTTTCTATTTTCTCGAACCATACTTTCATTCCCTTTCTTTCTTCCTTTCTTTCTATTTTCTCGAACCATACTTTCATTCCCTTTTTCTTTTCCTTTTTTTCTTTTTTTCTCGAACCATATTTTCCCTTTCTTCCTTTCTTTCTTTCTATTTTCCATTTTCTTCCTTTTCCTTTTCTTTCTTTCTATTTTCTCGAACCATACTTTCATTCCCTTTCTTCCTTCCTTTCTTTCTATTTTCTCGAACCATACTTTCATTCCCTTTCTTCCTTTCTTTCTTTCTATTTTCTCGAACCATACTTTCATTCCCTTTCTTCCTTTCTTTCTTTCTATTTTCTATAACCATTTTTTCATTCCCTTTCATCCTTCCTTTCTTTCATTTTCATACTTTCATTCCCTTTCTTTTTTTCTTTCTATTTTCTCGAACCATACTTTCATTCCCTTTCTTCCTTTCTTTCTTTCTATTTTTACTTTCATCCCCTTTTTCTTTTCTAATTTCTTTCTTTTCTTTCTCAAATCCTACTTTTTATTTCTTTCTTTTTATTTTTCTTTCTTTTCTTTTTTTTTTTTTTTTCTCGAACCATACCTTCATTCCCTTTCTTTCTTTCTTTCTTTCTTTCTTTCTTTCTTTCTTTCTTTCTAATATTTTCCATTGCTTATTCTTTCTTTTATTCATTAATCATTCTTTCTTCCTGTCACACTTTCTAGTATTCATTATTTTTGTGTTTTACAGTATTCCTTTCTTTTCCTTTTTTATTTTTATTTTCTTCTTTCTCATTATCCATTCTTTCTTTCTTTCTTTCTTTTTCATTGTTAAAATCGCCTTTGTCTCATCTTTCACTCTCACTCCCCACAAACCAAAAAAATGTTGCATTTTTTCTACCTGTGTCGCTGATTTAATGTATTTTTATTTTTTTTATTTATTTATTTATATTCATTGTTAAAAATAAAAGATTTGTATAAATTCAAAATATCAACAATCATTTTTCACGGAAAAAAACGCCCTGTCAGCATTTTTGTAATTTTCCCAGTTACAATTCTCAAAAATATACCATTAAACTCTATAATCATTAGCAGGGAAAACTGAATGCCTACCCACCAAGATGGCTGACGCTATAATAATGTCAATTCTCTTTTGAGCTCATTCCGAGAAATCAGGCACATTTACAGCATGTAAGCTCTGATAGATATGGGGAGGGGGGCTGAAAAATTCTCAGCTTGACATAATACCCGAAATAAGTATTATAATGGCCAAAGAGGACTTTTCAGCGATCCCTCGAAAGATTTTGACGTTTAACATACTTCAACTTTCAATGTTGAGACAGTGTCGCTGATGTGGCGATGATGATGACATGGTAAACCCCATCATCAGCATCGAATGAAGCAAGCTGTCTCAAGCGGAATATAAGAGCAAGAACAACAGGGTAGGAGGAGTCACATAGCAAGAACTATGCAAGCAGTCACGAAGCAAATACGAAAAGAGAATTAATCACGACACTATGGGAACCGATACATCATAAAAAGGTTAACACATTTGATAGCTGAAAAAGAAGGAAAACAAAATATGAGCATGAAAACGAGAAAAAACCCACCCATGGGATAATTAATAGGACCTCGTCTGGGAGATAAAAAAAAGGGATGAAAAGGAATGGTAGAATGAGCCTATAATAATATCTGAACAAGCTTAATTGAGACAAATTTGCTAGAATGATTTTGAGATCATCTACACTAAATTAGATTTATAAAGCGTTAATCGTTAATGATATAAGAAGACTTGTTTATAATAATACTAATATTAATGATAATAATAATAATAATGGTAGCTCTTTTTGTCCTAAACCTGGCTAATATATATATATATATATATATATATATATATATATATATATATATATATATGCAAGTGAACATAGAAGACAAAACTTAGAGGCGACAGTCTGTTTTATGCTCGTGGCCTGACGATTGCATCTAGCATGAAACAGACTGTCACCTCTAAGTGTTGACTTCTATGTTCACTTTTATTTACACACGCTCTATCTCTGATATTGAGCACTTTATCCCATAAATATAGCGCATCTTAAGACTTTATTTCTTCATATATATATATATATATATATATATATATATATATACACACACACACACCACACACACACACACACATATATATATATATATATATATATATATATATATATATATAACCTATTTTAGAATAATTCACCGAAAATATGTAAAATCGCTGCTAAATTGCAGTAGTATTCAAATGCATATCATCAGGCGATTGTAAATTACTGGCAATTGAACGATCTATTTAGACTTAAAAGCAAAAGGCAACCACTTTTTTTCGAATATATATATATATATATATATATATATATATATATATATATATATGAATGTAAAGAGAAGAAAAGTAATATGCAAATTCTAACATTCAGAGCATTAATTCAAAAGAAGGCTCAATACCGATAGTAGAGCAATAATTTTGGTTCTCACCAGTCGAGGTGTTAACTAAATGCACCGAAACGAAGTTGCATCTTTGTAGTGAGTAAATTGTTTTTTGTCTATATGAAAAATTGCAATATATATTATTATATAATAATCGGACTTTGTGCATTTCATTATATATATATATATATATATATATATATATATATATATATATATATATATGTGTGTGTGTGTGTGTGTGTGTGTGTATACAAGTGAGAGAAAAGAACAGATGGAGTCAAAATGGCACTGTCAATAGAATTTACTTCTAAAAAGTGCTCAATACAATGTAGAGCAAAATATTAATGTTATATTTTAACTATAAGAGATTATAACAAAACATTTTCATGTTTCTATACTTTGATTGTATTTCTATAGGCGATATTAAGTATTTATATATATGCTTGTTAATTCCGGACTACAACAAATTGTATACATCCCCTAAGGAATACCGCATTGTGCATCACTGTTTTTAAGTGGAAATTGTCGGGCCATTTTGTGATGAATTTCGGAGTTACATCAATATACTTGGGAAGACCCACAATCATAGCCCATCTCCATCGGTTGGATAACTCGATCTCAAGGCAATTTTCACGTTCACGTTTATATGATAATTTTATAAAAACGCCTTATGAAGAATTTAGGATGTGATGGATGAACATGACCTACACACTTAAAATTGTTACAGGTATACCTGACAATATATTTGTACCCAGCGTCTCTGTTTGCAAATCCTACTCTCTCTGTCACTTAATAATAATAA